GGTACTCTTTTCTTTGCTTCTAAAGAAATTTTCCTGTTTCTTAATACTTTGCTTAGGTGTTTGAAGTCATCTTTCTATTATTAACTCGGGTCTATTATTCATCTGCTATATAATGAAATTTTTCTGTTTCTTAATACTTTAGTTTGACACGAGCAACATTTAAATGCATTCGTATTATTTTTCTTTCCTGTGATGGTTAAATTTTCCAAGCCTTCTTTCCTTATTGTGTACCCAAGAAATTTCAGCTTTAACTTTCTGATTCTGAGTATAAATGTTTTTTCTAAATTCATTTTACTTTAAAACTGCTTACTCGCTCCGTCCGTGGAATTCTCAGCACATTTCTACCGCTTCAAGTGACTTTTTCATCTACGAAGATATTGTCCAGAACTCACTGCTATAGAGGTGGACTGACATTAGATAACAGTTCAGTACTCTTTTTTTCTAGCGATATTTTCCTGTTTCTTAATACTTTGCTCAGGTTTTTGAAGGCATCTTCCAATACGACTTCGAATTTCGGTGTCGCACTTCTCCTCATCTCTTAACGCGCTTCCCAGTTATTTAAATTGCCTACGGACAGACTTTCGATTCGGACGGTAGACAGCTGCCCTGCCCCGTGTATGTGAGGTCTACGCGGAATTTTTGCTGGCCTTGTGCACATTCCGCTTTGGTGGGCGTGGGTGGGGGATGAGTTTTCGGATAAATACCGACAAGTTAACGATTAACTGTTTATTAAATTCGTCTGTGTCCCCAACCGTGTACCATATTATTCTCCGGAATAAGCTACGTCTTTTTTTTTCATATGTGCGTCATATTACTATTTACGACATAACAAAAGGGCACTTCAACATGGAAACAGAAAGAGACAGTTGAATTTACCAGGGCACGTGATGAGGAAAGTGGGCTTGGAGAATTTGATACTCATAGGACCTAGTGAAGGCAAGCGGGTCGGAAATATTGTGTTACCAAATCTAAACAATTTGTGTAAATTAATGGTCGTATAGGAAGTGGGCGTGATTGCAAGGGGGAGGTATTACTTACTTACAAAGAGTAGGAAGTTGTGGAGCGCCGTTATCTCCAGCGTCCTTAACATGTTGCATATTACATTAAAAACATAGTGAAAGTTGGTTGTTTTTCCATGTTTTTTTTTGTTATTTTTTTTTTTTAGCTGCACATCAACACTTCTATGAGTCATTTAATGCTGAAATCAAAATATTTTAATTTTATTTTTATTTGGGGGGGGAGCAGATAGCCTAGTCACCCAAATCTTACTAAGTAATTCATAGCTGGGGAATGGGGGGAATAGATGGATTCATAAATTTTCCCTGTTTTTTTTTTTCGCGTGAGTGAATATACCGAACAAAACTGGGATTTGAACTCGGCTCTCCGATTCTGAGCTGTTATTCATCCAAGATTACAACAGTTGTCATTATCAAGCGGTCACCCATCTAGTTACAGACCAGGCTTGACGTTGCTTAACTTTTTTAATCGTTCATTATATAGTGGTTTACTAAGGGCAATGTAGGTATGGCACAAGAATATCTTGATAGGACGATTTTTACGACTTATCAACCTTGTTAAGAATATTTAAAGCTGAAACATATTTTTGGATTCTAAGAATATTTTTTAGATAATAAGGATTTACTGATACAAGTGATACTATTTAACCCATAGCTAGGAGGAGAATAGGTGGATTCATAAATTTTCCAATGGTTTTTCCGCGTAAGTAAATATAAAGAACAAAACTGGGATTTAAACTCGGCTCTCCGATTCTGTTATCTATTAAATTACCAGCACACCCAAGATTACAACAGTTGTCATTATCAAGCGGTCACCCATCTAGTTACAGACCAGGCTCGACGTTGCTTAACTTGTTGTTTCGTTCATTTTATAGTGGCTTACTAAGGGCAACATAGATATGGCACAAGAATACCTTGATTGGATGTTTTTTACGACTTATCAACCTTGTTAAGTTTATTTAAAGCTGAAACATATTTTTGGATTCTAAGAATATTTTTTAGATAATAAGGATTTATTGATACTATTTAACCCATAGGTGGGAGGAGTATAGGCGGATACATAACTTTTCCAAGCATAATTGTACATATGTGAATATAACGAACCCGACTGGAATTTGAACTCAGATCTCCGATTTCTCATTACGAGTACACCACCAGCAAATCAAAGCTTACAGTACTTAGTATCCCTGAGGGGTCAGCCATCTAGATATTGTCATGGCCCGATGTTGGTTAACTTCGTTGATCGTAAGGGAACTGATGTTCCAACGTGATGCGGTCGTGTACCCTACGGTTAAATGGAGAACATCTCAGGCAAAGCTAGATATAGTTTTCATGTTTTACACGTCTACCAAGAAGAAGAAAAAAAACCCCAAAGACGAAAGCACTAACAGCTTTTACAGAAACATGACGCATGTCGGGGTTCTTTAAAGTTAGAAAATTAGCGGTCCTTTGTTCTCACCGCGCGCCATTTGTCTTTAAGAAGGAAAGCCGGTGAAAAATGTCTTTTTGAAAACGACCGGATGTAAGTGCGCCTTATCTCTTTTCTCGACAAGGACCTCTACCCCTGATATTTTCTGAGTCTTCAAGCTCCTGTTGGCGAAGTCTTGACGTAATCGTGTACACATATACGGTTTTCCAAAGAAGTTTTTTTTCTTCTTTAACCTCACGGTATTTTTTTTTTTAGTTGCCTGTTCAGCCGAGCAACCGTAACGTTTCGTTGACGGATGCTTCTGCAACCGGGCATGGACGAGTCTGTTACCAACGGAGTCAATGAGGGACAATTACTCGTGTGTTAAGTCACTGACCCTTCTGATACGATAAACATCTGCCACTTTCGACTAAATGCAAAAGCAAGCCGACACAAAATTGATGTATTCTGACGAGAGCTTAAAGGTCGTAACGAAACAAAACCAGACCCCCCGGCAAGGAATACGGAGAAATCTGTTGGTGTGTAAGCAGAGAGGCAAAATCTGAAAGGAGAGGCAGCGAACCTGATATGCGCCTGTTGTTAAATGTAAGCTGCTTGCTTACGATGCGCTTAAATCGATATCGACATGTATTTCAGTCAATGTTAATTAGTTTTTTCACCGGTTTGAACATTTATATATTCAATTAATTAAATTTATTTTAAGGCATTTTTTTATGTTTATACGTTCTTTTTATAGATACAAATATTTAACTAAATGCTCTGTTTATAATGCGTCCTCCGACAGGAATCGAACCTGCATCCTATAAGGAACCGTCATATAGCCTGACGTGCTTTACCGATTTAGCCATAGAGGGGCGCTTCAGTTAGCAAGGTAGATTTTACTGCTTTTAAACTTACAATTCTCCATGATTTTCTCTCGTACAGGCTATATGACGGTTCCGTATAGGATACAGGTTCGATTCCTCTTGGGGGACAAATATTTTCTATGAAAATTTCTCGGACATTCAGGCCGGTAAATGTTATTAATACTGTTTATTATGAAACATAGCATTTACTTAAACATTTGTATCTATAAAAAGAATGTATAAATATAAAAAAATGTTTTAGAATAATTGTCGGACTTTGTCCATTTCATAATGTGTGACGTCATTTGTTTACATTTGGATACGCATCGAGCAGATATGAATGTACGAGAGAAAATCATGGAGAATGCTAAGTTTAAAAACAGTAAAATCGACCTTGCTAACCGAAACGCTCCTCTGTGGGGAAATCGGTCAAAGCACGTCAGGCTATATGACGGTTGCGTATAGGATACAGGTTCGATTCCTGTCGGAAGACGCATATTTTCTATAAATATTTCTCAGACATTCAAGCCGGTAAATATATTTAATACTGTTTATTATAAACAGAGTATTTACTTAAATATTTGTATCTATAAAAATAACGTTTAACCATAAAAAATATGTCTTAAAATAATTGTCCATTTCATAATTAAACTAGCAGCATGTCCCGGCGTTGCCTGTGCTTGATTCAAAAACCGTACGACTCATACAGCAATCACTATCACTTGACTTAAAATATTTTTGCCCTTCTTTGCCTTTAAAGAAGTGCGCTTTTTGAGGTGCTGATGTTGCTACATGCCTTACTTCTTGCCTATCTCATTTTTGAAGGCATTAAGCTTCTATACTAAACATTAAATCTGTTACGAAAAAAGAACTAAACAAAATGAACACAAAACGATCAACTTTAAAAAAAGGACTCGTAATTGAAAAACCGAATGAAAAAGAATGTTAACAACAAATACTTTTTCACACCCAACCCAACGGGAAGACCAAGACCGACTTTGCATGTTTCCTATCGATAGTGGAAATAATCGATTTTTCATGCTTCTACGGCACTTTTCATGTAGTTTGCGGCCATTTTATACTGGCCAAATGTTTTCTTTATATCTGGCTGCCACGAATAGGCAGAAAGATTCTATTGGCCAAAACATGTGAGCCAACAGCTGACTGACACGAACGTTATTTAGCATGCTAGCAGAAAAAAAAATCGATAGCTTTATTCGTCACAAGAGGGAAAATTTAAATCTGCATGACACTTTAATCCAATTGGTCTTCCTGCTAACTTGGAGGATGTGCATGTAAATTTTGGTAAATAAAATCTGTCGAAAATTGCGACGATTAAATTCATTACACACACACACACACACACACACACACACACACATCCGGCATTTTATAGATAGAGATTTAGAGATCAATTTTTTGGTTGAAAGTGCTTCGGTTCATATTTAGAAAAATTTCAATAAAGGTTTGTCTTGTTTACGAATCGAGATAGCCAGCTATTAGTGCGATCAGCCGTTTCCATACGGAAAACATTCGATACTCATTGACTGAACGGTTATCGTTTCTTTCGTTTGTCAAATATAAATGATTTAAAGGAATTCATCAGAAACTCAAACACCGTCTGTAATTATTATGCAAATCAGATAAACCTCCATTAATTCAAGTTTACATAGAAAATCAAATCAAGTCAAAATCCGCAGAACCAGCGAGTCACCGAGCGATCGTTTTGGCAGAGCCGCCACAGAACCAGCGAATCACCGAGCGGTCGTTTCGGCTGAGCCGTCGCAGAACCAGCGAATCATCGAGCAGTCGTTTTGGCAGAGCCGCCGCAGAACTAGCGAATTAACGAGCGGTCGTTTTGGCAGAGCCGGCACAAAAGAGACGGACTTGATGCCCAAGTCTCACTGCCGTGGAGCAGCACAGAGCGTACACACACAGTGAACAATTTCCAAGTTATCAACGATACGTATTTGGATGTGAGAATAGGTAGGAGATTTTTGAATTTCGCCCAAGCCACAGAGCACGATTAAAATGGCGAGCTCGCAACTTCAACCTAATCCCTAACATAACAGATACAGAACTTAATATCCATTTTTGAAATCGTTTGTCAAATTTTAAACGACTAATTTCAAAGTCAAAGCAAAGCTTGAGTTAGATTTTTAGGTAGTTTCAACATGATTTATTAAATCTATTGGATTTATTATATAAAAAAAAGCAAACTATATTATCTGTATCTATAAAAGGCAGGATGTGTGTGTGAGTGTGTGTGTGTGTGTGTGTGTGTGTGTGTAACGAATGCACGGCCGCAATTTTCGACGGATTTCCAGCAAAAGTTACATGCACATGCTCCAAGTTAGCAGGAAGGCCAAGACCGACTTTGCATTTCCCAACTCCCATCGATAGTGGAAAGAATCGATTTTTTCATGCTTCTACGGCACTTTTCATGTAGTTTGCGGCCATTTTCTACTGGTCAGAGTGAGAGCCTATAGCTGGCTGCCACGAATAGGCAGGAAGATTCTATTGGCCAGCGTTGAGAGCCAACAGCTGACTGACACGAATGTTAACTAGCATGCTAGCATGCAAAAAAAAATCGATAGCTGCTGCATTCGTCACAAGTGGGAAAAATTTAAATCTGCATGGCACTTTACTCCAATTGGCTCATTCGCTTGTTTAAACTCAACGTTGATTCTGATTCCGCAGAACTGGGTTGGGTGTGAAAAAAGTATTTGTTGTTAACATTCTTTTTTCATTCGGTTTTTCCAGTTACGAGTTTTTTTTTTAAAGCTGATCATTTTGTGTTCATTTTGTTTAGTTCTTTTTTCGTAACAGATTTAATGTTTTATATAGAGCTTAGAAAAAATTCGCAGTGTGAGATAGGCAAGAAGTAAGGCATGTAGCAACATCAGCACGGCAAAGGGCACTCCTTTAAAAGCAAGGAAGGGCAAAAATATTTTAAGCCAAGTGATAGCGATTGCTGTGAGTCGTACGATTTTTGAATCAAGCACGGCCAACGCCGGGTCATGCTGCTAGTGAAATATAATATATTAATAAATATTTTTAATCTCGAATAATCTGTAACACCTGAATCAGAGCTCAACGAAATATAGGTTTTACTTAATTAGCTTTTATGTTTATTTAACACTTAAAATGTCGAATGTATATTCTAATTTCTGTTTCTCATTCTACACTATATTCATTTATCTTATAAATTGTTATGTCAACCATAAAATAAAAAAATAATTGTTTATACGGAAAATAACGATCTACGTACATCAAATAATTTTAAAATTAATTGGCAGCAGAAGAACTGTGGTTGAACTTTTAAAAGGTAAGTTGAAACATTAATTCAATACTTAAATGCAGCGATCAATTTTGAATTCTTCTGTAGTTTATCGATGCCTATCGCATCTAGTCCTCCCTTGCTATTGTGATTATGGCTAAACTAAGAGTCCTTCCACAGGTTTTTTTAAATTTGTCCCATATACTTTTGGTTTTAAGCTAGTCCATCATAAAATTTGTAAGCATTCAAAATTTTTTGAAGTCCTAAATTTCTTTGGTATTTAAACTTTATAGAACTATATGTGCCTAATTTCGATTTGATAATCTGCCGGTGATGTCATAATACTTTTTTTTTAAAAAAAAATGGCTTAAAGCTTTTGTTTGCTCTATTTTATCCGCGAGAATAGGAGTTGTTTTTGTTTTCTGAAGATAAAGGGTTAATGTCACCACCCCCAGGAGTATTTACGTGGATAGAGAAGAAAGAAAAAAAGTGTAAGTGTGTGTGCAATTGGTTTAATCTTCAAATGGATGTGATCGTCTGTGTGTTTCTGTTGCCAAGGCAACAAAGATTTGAGTTTGTTCCTAACTTATCAATTTCTTCGTAAAAATTCCTAGAACGAAGCAGAGCAAAAAAAGAAAAAAAGAAAAGTTTTCAAAGCAAATAAAAATAAAAGAAATATTTTAGAAATTAAAGAGAAGCAATAGATAGAAGATAGACAGAAACAGAGAGAGAGAGAGAGAGAGAGAGAGAATGAAAGTGAGAGATATAGAGAGAGAATGAAAGAGAAAAGTAACAGGAAGATAAAATGAAAAAAGTAAAAGAAGAGAAAAAGAGAGAGAGTGAAGAAGATAAAGTTTTAAATAGTGTGTGTGTGTGTGTGTGTGTGTGTGTGAGAGAGAGAGAGAGAGAGAGAGAGAGAAAAAGAGAGAAAAAAAAATAAAAAAAAAGTGATAAAAAGAAAGACGTAAAAAAAGAGATAGATAGATAGAAAAGACTAATAGAAAAGGTGAGATATAAAGAGATAGAGAAAAAGAAATATAATAGTGTGGGGGGAGGAGAGAGATACAGATATGCAGAAGAGAAAGTCTGCGAAAAACAGAGAGATAGGGAGAGAAAGAGAGAGAGAGAGAGAGAGAGAGAGAGAGTGCAAGCCAATGAAAAAGAGACATAGAGAGAAAAGGCGACGCTGAAAGAAAGAGACAGACATGCAAAAAGAGAATGTGAGAGAGAATGAGGGATAACGAATGAGAGAAAGTTTCCCTGTACCGCACCAGTATGTAACTGACTCCCCTACACGAAAGCCACCAATCTGCCACTAAAATATAAAAACAAGCGTTTACACGTTAATCTGGCCTTGTCCCATAAAAAGCTTGTGATTTAGTTTAAATATCGAGTTAAAATTTAAGGTTTTAGCCGCGCTCTAAGCTCTTAGTGCTAAAATATTCTCTGCCTTTTAAAAAGAAAGAAACAAACAGACGAGGCTATGCCCAAATGCAGAGTCTCGTCTGTGGAGGTAGACAAACCCGATCCCGTCCAAATTACGGTTTAAAATTAGGAATTTTTCTTGGTTTTTGTCGAACACTCTGCCTACGATCGAAGAGAGACTTAGACGAGGCTATGCCGAAGGGTAGAATGACGACTGTGGAGATCAACAAAACCGACCACGTTATGGTGGGGTCTGTGAGGATTTTTTTGCCCGGGACTACGGGCTCGGAAAAACTTAACGTAAAAAATTTTTGGTCACATCCCGATCTGTGGATTTTTCTATAAATATTTTTAGAATTAGGTCTTAGCTTATTTTTATAAAAATTGGTGCTTGTCGAACACTCTGCCTACGATCGGAAAGGTAGAATGACGATTGGGGATGTCAACAAAACCGACCACGTTATGGCGGGGTCTATGAGGATTTTTTGCCTGGGATACGGGCGGTTCTTTGAAAAAAAAACAAACACGTCAATCCGGCCTTGTGCCACAAACCGCTCTGTGGGGAGTTCGGGTATATACCGAGTTAGAATTAGGTTTCAGCCACGCGCTGAGATTTTAGTGCTTGTCAAACTCTCTGTCTTCGATCAGAGAGGAACCTAGTCGAAAGGTAGAGTCTTGTCTGGGGAGGTCGACAAATCCGACCACGTTATTACGGGGTATACGTGGAATTTTTGCCCGGGCCTACGAGATCGGAAGAACCCACATTAAACCGACCTTGTGCCACATTCCGCTTTGTTGAGTGCTCGGGTAAATACCGAATTAACATTAGGTCCATTGCTGAGTGTACTTTCGTTTGTCTTATTCATTTTCCTCTGTTATATTGAATAAACGAGATGCAACAGTTTTAAGATATTAAATGTGCAGTAGCAAAGTCTATTCGGTACGCTTATGGAGATGATGCAATGAATCAAAAAAATTGCAGAAGGTGGTTTTCCCGTTCCCGAAGTTGAGATTTCAGTTTGAAAGACGAACAAAAAGAGCGTCATCCAAAAAAAAAAAAAAAAAAAAAAAAACACACTTGATTCCGAAGAATTGAAAGCTGTTGTCACAGACAGTCCAACCATTGCCTCTAGGGAACATGTAAAAACATTCAACGCATACCATACAACCGTACTACGCCAATTAAAAAGGATTAGAATAGTTTCAGTGGTTGGGAAATGGGTCCCACACGAACAGTCTCTAGCGAATCTGCAACATAGTGTTGCTCGTTGTGAATCATTGTTTTCAAGACGCCATCAGGCACCATTTTTAGGTAGGCTTGTTACAGGTGATGAGAAGTGGATCCTTTACCATAATGTTAGACGTCGCAGATCGTGGATCAGTTGAGGAGGAAGATCAGTTCAACAACCAAGAGGAGGATTTCATCTAAAAAATGATGTGAGCATATAGTAGGATATTGATGGATTTGTCCATTACGAACTATTAAACAATAATCAAACAATTACCGCTAATTTGTATTGTGATCAACCTCCTCGTTTTAAAATAAACTTGGAATCAAAAGTGACCTTGTTGTTCATGATGACGGTCGTCTTCGAGTATAGAATCCAGAGGTTAGCAGTGAATATTTCGAAGACAGTAGGAAAGCGTTGTTCAGATTAGCAGTGGATATTTTGGTAAAAGTAGCAGAGCGTAGTTCCTCCTTCTGTTCCTCTTCGCCTGATAAGCTGGCACTGGACATTCGGATAGAGTGAACAAAATGGCCGCCTTTATACACGACCGAATGAATATTCTACGTCTTCTGATTGGTTAACCTTCTATTGGTGGACTATAAAGGGAGTCAAGTCATTTGGGCTAACTCACTAGTCACATAACATACACAAAAAAAAACTGCAACAGAACTTCCTTAGTGAACAGAAAAAGCGTCATCATCCTTACAATAATGCTTGTCCTTATACAGTTTGGCTGACTTAAAATCTTTTGGCAGAGCTTGGTTTTGAATATTGTTTCATCCACCATATTCTCCTGATCTTACTCTTCCTGATTATCATATGTTTTGGGGACTACAAAATCATTTGGATGGTCTTACGTTGACATTAAAAAAAAAGAGGTTGAAAATGATTTGGATTCATATTTTACTTCAAAACGTAAGGAATTTTATAGGCGTGGCATTTAAAAGCTTGTTGGCAGATGGAATGCTGTTCTATATACAAAGCAAAGGGATTGATGATGACGAATAAATATTTACATGATCATGGGCTTTTTCATTTTTGATAGAGACGTTGAAATCGGACGTTTCTTTTGCGCCAACCTGATAAACGATAAAAAGAAATTAATCTAATTTCGAAGAAAAATTTAATTACGAAGAAAATTTTATTGGGGAAAAAAAAATTCTTTGTAAACTAAAGCAAACATTCATATTTTATAAGTAAAAAAAAAACGGACTAAAAAAGACGCGGAACAAACTGAAAAAAAAAACTAAAATATCATTTAACCACGAAACCCCTGAAGAACGGAAATTTTACCAAGAAACATCGACGTCGGGGAAGAATTGATATATAAAAGTTATAATATTTTTCCCATTTTATATATATATATATATATATATATATATATATATATATATATATATATATATATATATAAATATAATAAGGTAAATATTCGTTAGGTAAATAATCCAAAGTTCTTTAGTATTTTTGTTATTATTTTTAAAAAAATAGTGCTCGATACAAAAGTAGAGTATAAATATAATTATTTATTTAAAAATATGATTCCATCGCTACGTAAGAGTTCTGATGTTTCAAAAGAAGAGCCGAAAACTTCAATATAATTATTTGAATTAAATTGAATTAAAGTACTAAGCTCTGTTCCATCTTCGAGCGAAATTTTTTTGGGAATAACTTATTCCTGAAATTTACGCGTTTTATAAGCATATTTATTATTGAAATTAAAATTACCATGGTAACGGCTAGAGCAATTGTTTAAAGAAAATGAGAACTCTTATGTAGCGTTATATAATATATATATATATATATATATATATATATCTATGAAGAAATATAGTTTTAAGAGGTGCTATATTTATGGGATAAAGTACTAAGTATCTGAGATAGATTGTATGTAAATATAAATATAAAATTGAACATTGAAGTCAACATATAGAAGCGATATTTTTATCATATATATATATATATATATATATATATATATATATATATATATATATATATATATAAGAAATATGTTGTAGTGGTACCAACGAGTAAAAGTATGTATATTAAAAAGAAGAGAAGAGAGGTGCCGCAAACGTTTTTGGTTGTAATGTGGATTTATTTAGAAAAAAAATATTATGCTTTGTTTTACATAATTTTACGACACGTGTTTTTCTGGTCTCGCGACCGTCTTCAGGTAAAAGCGGAGATTTTTACATATTATTAAAAATAATTAATTTTTTCCTTATGTTCAATGTTAAATATTCTCGATATGAGACATTCTCTGTTTGTGTGTTGGTAATCCGAATTTCTTTTTGAATTAGCAAAATGAAGAGTTCTGCACGAAGGGTCATAAAACAATTAAGGTTGGTCCAAGCGAAATGGTGAATTACTTATCGGCATTTTTATCTTTTAATGTTTTACTGACCCCTATGTGCTCTTGGATCTGTTTCCATTTTGGTGCGTTTCTGTCAGCATGCGTGTATATATGCGTGCGTATATTTCCCCTCCATACATATACTGTCTTACTACGAGGAATTCGTAAACTTATTTGTACCTATACATATATATATCCTATATATATATACGAGTTTGAGGAAATAAATCACAAAGACAATATTAATTTCGATTCACACTAGATGCTTCATATTATTTGTCTTGTGTCAGACGAAGTTTAACGATGTGGATATCTATATAGTGCGATCAGATAAGTTTAAAGAAAGAGTAAACGTTTAAGAGAGTGATATAGCAAGCAAGAGAGGAGATAGCAATAGAAAGGTATAGAGAATTAGGGAGTGAAATAGAGAAAACATCGATCTCTCACTGTCTCTCTCTCTTAAAAATTCTCTCTCATGTTTTGTCTCTCTCTATTTATCTCTCTCTCTTTGTCTAAAAAAATATAATCTCTCTAGAGTGAATGTAGAGAAAGAGATTTTTTTGAGAGAAAAGACCGACAGGAATATAAAGTGTTAAAAGAAAAAGAGATAATAAAAGAGAGGTAGTAGAGAAAGATTTTAATGAAGAAAGAAAGAGGGAGAGACTCGATAGAATGAAAGAACCAAGAGAAAACAAGAAAATGAGTGAGAATGGGTGTAGAGGCAAGAGAGAAACCAAGAGAGAGCATGAGATTGAGAAAAGGAAAAGAGCTGAGAGAGAGAGAGAGAGAGAGAGATCATAGATAAAGAAAAAAGAGGAAAGAAAGAATGAGCAAACGGATGAGAAATTAAATATAGAGATTAAGAGAGACAAAAATGAAGCAGAAAGAGAAAGACAGGGAGAGTTAGAATGAACGAGAGAAACACTTAAAAGAGAGAATGATCAAACAGGAGAGACCATAGATAATGAGAAAAAGAGGAAAGATAGATTGAGAAAGTATTCAGAGAGATGGATAGGTCGAGAGAAAGAGAGAGAAGGGGAGGGATTAAAAGAGAGAAAAACCTAGAGAGTGAGTGTTAGGCTGAACTAGAGAAAATCTTAAAGAGAGAGAGAGAGAGGCTCTAGATAATGAGAAAAAGAGGAAAGATAGATTGAGAAAGTATTCAGAGAGATGGATAGGTCGAGAGAGAGAGAGAGAGAAGGAGGGATTAAAAGAGAGAAAAACCTAGAGAGTGAGTGTTAGGCTGAACTAGAGAAAATCTTAAAGAGAGAGAGAGAGAGGCTCTAGATAATGAGAAAAGAGTAAAAATAGATTGAGAAAGTATTCAGAGAGATGGATAGGTCGAGAGAGAGAGAGAGAAGGGAGGATTAAAAGAGAGAAAAACCTAGAGAGTGAGTTTTAGGCTGAACTAGAGAAAATTGAAAAAGAGAGAGAGAGAGGCTCTAGATAATGAGAAAAAGAGGAAAGATAGATTGAGAAAGTATTCAGAGAGATGGATAGGGAGAGAGAGAGAGAGAGAAGGGAGGGATTAAAGAGAAAAAACCTAGATTATTATGTATATATGTTTTAGAGAAAAAATTTAAAAGAGAGAGAGAGAGGCTCTAGATAATGAAAAAAAAGAGGAAAGATAGATTGAGAAAGTGGATAGAGAGATGGATAGGTGAGAGAGAGAGAGATGGATAGGGGATTAAAAGAGAAAAACCTAGAGAGGAGTTTAGGCTGAACTAGAGAAAATCTTAAAAAGAGAGAAGGCTCTAGATAATGAGAAAAGATAAAGATAGATTGAGAAATATTCAGAGAGATGGATAGGTCGAGAGAGAGAGAGAGAGAAGGGGAGGGATTAAAAAGAGAAAACCTAGAGAGAGTTTAGGCTGAATATAGAGAAAATTTAAAAAGAGAGAGAAGATAATGAGAAAAAGAGGAAAGATAGATTGAGAAAGTATTCAGAGAGATGGATAGGTCGAGAGAGAGAGAGAGAAGGGGAGGGATTAAAAGAGAGAAAAAACCTAGAGAGTGAGTGTTAGGCTGAATTAGAGAAAATCTTAAAGAGAGAGAGAGAGGCTCTAGATAATGAGAAAAAGAGGAAAGATAGATTGAGATTTATTCAGAGAGATGGATAGGTCGAGAGAAAGAGAGAAGGGAGGGATTAAAAGAGAAAACCTAGAGAGTGAGTGTCAGGCTGAACTAGAGAAAATCTTAAAAAGAGAGAGAGAGAGGCTTCTAGATAATGAGAAAAGAGGAAAGATAGATTGAGAAAAAGAGATGGATAGGTCGAGAGAGAGAGAGAGAGAAGGGGAGGGATTAAAAGAGAGAAAAACCTAGAGAGTGAGTGTTAGGCTGAACTAGAGAAAATCTTAAAGAGAGAGAGAGAGGCTCTAGATAATGAGAAAAAGAGGAAAGATAGATTGAGAAAGAATTTTGATAGATGGATAGATCGAGAGAGAGAGAGAGAGAGAGAGAGCGAGAAAGGGGAGAGAGAGCGAGAGATTAAAAGACAGGAAAAACCTAAAAAAAAAAGAGTGAGTGTTAAACTGAACGGGAGAAAATCTTTAAAAAGATAGACCATAGATAATGAGAAAAAGAGCAAAGCGAGAGTGAGAGAGAATGCTGTTAGACTGATGGACCGAGAGAGAGAGAGAGAGAGAGAGAGAGAGAGAGAGAGAGAGAGAGAGATGGATATAGATGGATAGAAAAAAAAAAAAATTTAAGAGAGAGAGAGAGTTTGTGTGTGTGTGTGTGTGTGTGTGTGTGTTAGCCTGAAAATAAGAAAAAAAAAATTTTTAGAGCATGATTGTGTGTGTGTGTGGCGTTCCGGAATGAAATAATGCCGGACAAAGTACATTCTCCGATAGTCTAAACACGAGCCACAACCCACCGACCCTTGTTTTTTAAGCGCCCAACCAACTTCCAAAAACATCTAAACAACGACAACAACATCCAAAAAAAAAAAAAAAAGAAAAATGCCAAAAAGAAACAACAAAAAAACAAAAAACAAAAGCAAAACAGACAAAATGAAAAAACGCCCCACCCAACACGCAGACACAACCTACGCAAGAAAATTTAGCGAAACATCGTAGGGAATCATAATCTATGTTGCCTCGGTAAAATGTCTTTCCGTCGGAATGTTCACCTTTTTCCCGTTAGTTAACCTCGGTAATGCACATCCAAGCACTCAACTCTCATAAACAGACAATCTCGTTTGGCAAGTAACCTTATACCCTTATGCCCTAATGGCTGCCCCGTTTGAAAATGGCCGTCTCACTTTCTTCTTTTTGGAGTTACGCCATTTTGTTCTTATTTTCTTTAAACGCTTTTCTTTCTGTTTTGGTTTTTAATTCTTCGTCCCGGACTTCATTGTTTAACTTGCTTTACTTTTTGTTGTGTCTGTACGTCGCTTCACTTCTTTGGTTCCAACTTTTGTAGTTGTTGTTGTCGGTGGCGTTTTGTTGTTGTTATTTGTTGTTAAATTTACGAACGTTGTTGTTGCTGTCGTTAATCTTTGTACTCTTACTTTTTTGTTGTTTATTGTTTATTGTCGTTGTTTTTCTTCAGTCCTGATTTTTCAAATTCTGTTCTTGTCCTGGCTTTTCATTTTCTTTCTCGTATTCCGCTATCTTTCTTTCTTTCTTTTTTTCATTTTCCGCCGTCTACATCTTCAATTTCTTCTTCTTTCTTTTTTCTCTTTCTCCGCCGACTTGCTCTTCAATTTCTTCTTTCTTTGTTTCTTTCTTTCTTTGTTTCTTTCTTTCTTGGGCGTCATCCTCTATATTTCACTTATTTTTCTTTCGTTCCCTTTCTCAGCCGTCTTCCTCGTCCATTTCTTTCTTTCTTTCTTCCTTTTTCTCATCCATCTTCCTATTTCTTTCTTTCTTTCTTTCTTTCTTTCTTTCTTTCTTTCTCTTTCTCATGAGTTCTTCCTCTTCTGTTCTATTCTTTCTTTCTTTCTTTCATGAGTCTTCCTCTTTCTTTCTTTCTTTTTCCCATGAGTTCTTCCTCTTCTTTCTTTCTTTCTTTCTTTCTTTCTTTATTTCTTTCTTTCTTTCTCTTTCTTTCTTATATCTTTTAGAATCTCCTTAATATTTCTTTCTTTCTTTCTTTCTTTCTTTCTTTCTTTCTTTCTTTCTTTCTTATATTTCCCATGAGTCTTCCTCTTCCACTTCCTCTTTCGTTCCCTTTCTCAGACGTCTTCCACTTCCATTTTTTTCTTTTTTCCCTTCCATATCTTCTTAATTTCTTACACTTTTCCCTGGCATTTTTCCTTCTTTTTTCTTTCTCAGCTCTCTTTATCTTCCATTTTGTTCTTTCTTTCGCAGTCTTCCTCTTACAATTCTTTCTTTCTTCCTTGGTGTATATTTATCTCATTCTTCTTGCTTGCCCTCTCTGTTTTTGTTATTAGTTTTTCTTTTCTTTCTCTCTCACTTTTTGTAGGTATGTGTCCCTCCTTTTCTTTTTCTTTCTTTCTTTCTTTCTTTCTTTCTTTCTTTCTTTCTTTCTTTCTTTCTTTATGCCTCGATCATTCAAGACTTTGGCGATCCTTCCGATTACAATTTCGTGTCCTTTGTAGCACTTAATGACATTTGCCTTTTGCCTATCACTTTAAGAAGATCTCCACAATTCAGTCAAGCTCACCATGTAGGTTATGCCTTGTTTTCCTCTGTCTCTCATACCGATAATCTGTCCGGAGTGTATCATTTTTTCCAAAGGTTAAAAACGAGAAGTGTTACCATTAGAAATCAATCCATATTGCAGAACAGAAATATTAACATTCCTTTCGCCATGAAAAATATTTATTTCCGGTAAAATCTTCCGTAGGTTCAATATATATATATATATATATATATATATTAACAAAAGAATCAAATCATTACACAAAAGCTTTCATATTTCAATACTGTGATTGAACTGAAGAAGTACAATCATACTATTGAAACATGAAAGCTTTTGTTCAGCGATTTCAAAATATTTTTTATTATATTCTCTTATAATAAACATATAATCATAATATATTGCTCTACTTTGTATTGAGCACATTTTTTAAAAGTAAATGTTACGAACAGTGGAGTTTTACTCTATCGCTTTTTCTCTCATTCATTATATATATATATATATATATATATATATATATATATATATATATATATATATATATACTAAAGGTCTGAATTATCTTTTTCCTCTCACCATTGCTCAGTTAGGAGGACATAGGCGTTCTTTGGGGATTCTTTCAACTAATGGTGACACGATGGCTGAACATTTTATCTGAAAACCTGGTAAAAAGAAACACAATTAGTTTAGTGCCTCTTTAGATATAAAACATTTTCTGGGATGGACAATTATGCTGTTATACGATTTGGACAATTTTGTTGTAACACCGACATATATATATATATATATATATATATATATATATTGTGTTTTCCTTTCTATTTGAACCTTCTTTTTTTTCGTATGAACTGTAAACTTTTTTCATTCTTTCCTTTCCAGTATCTTTTTTATTTTAGTTATTTAGAATATATATATATATATATATGTGTGTGTGTGTGTGTGTGTGTGTGTGTGTTTATGCGTGTATATATATATATATATATATATATAAACAAATGAGAGAAAAACAGCAATAGAGTAAAACTCTGCTGATCGTAACATTTACTTTCAAAAATGTGCTCAATATAAAGTAGAGCAATATATTATTATTATTATATTTTGATTATAAGAGACTATAATAAAAATATTTTGAAATCGCTGAACAAAAGCTTTTTATGTTTCAATAGTATGATTGTACATATATATATATATATATATATATATATATATAGATAGATAGATAGATACTATATATATATATATATATATATAGTATTTTCCTTTCTATATATTATTATTATTATTTCTTATCCTCCTTCTTCTCCTCCTCTTCCTCTTCTTCTTCTTCTTCTTCTTCTATGTACCGTGTCCCTTTAGAACGTTTGGGGAACATGTTCCTCCACGGCTTCTTGTGCTTTGTACCTCTTTATAACTTCCGTCCTTTTGCCATCTCTTCCAAACCCTGCTACGCCACCTATCTGCTGAAACATGCCATGTCAGTTGAGCTGTTCTGTAAATATAAACATTTCCAATTGTTTCGAGCGACTGTTAAAGATCAATACATATAATGGGAAATAAATTAATCTTCTGTGAAATTATTTACCTGCGTGGGGCGGCAAGTAGATATCTAATATGATAGGCGAGTACTGGGAGTTTACGTGTACCTTATTTTGTTTGCCATATCACGGCCAAAGCGAAGAGACACAATCTTCGGGCAAAACGCAATCCAAAATTTAAGAGGTGCCTGGTCCCGGAGAACAGCTTTCTCCAGCAGTACCTGCCCCATTGCACTAAAGAGTTTAGGGGTCGGTAGTAATACTGACGCCAGCGCAACCGACAGTAAACTGGAAGAGAGTTTCACAAGCGTGAAGTGTGAGAGGAAGAGACTGTTAGCAGAGGACTTACGGTTACATCTCGCCATTTTTACTGTAAAATGATGAGACCTTGCCGCCAATCTAGTACTGAGCTTCAATTCATAAAGTCTACATATCATAGCGGAAAGTCATATTTATTTTGAGAAATACAAAAAAGTGGGGATAGTGAAAAGCTGATTTTTAATCTGTCTTCATCTTAAACTTAGCTAGACACAGTGGCTTACTCAATACCACATTATTCTTTACACCAAAACACCATACTCTTACTTTCTATTCTTACTACACCCACCATAATACCACCAAGTCTCTATCAAGTTTTAATATGTTCCCTTATAGCTGAAAGTTCATCACAACTACCATAAAAGTATTTATACAAAAGGCACAGTGAAACTACATAACGGCGGTGGGAAAGTGGCTGAAGCCGATATGCCAGGTTAGGATCATTAAAATTGCAGAATATTCTTTGGATTTTATTAATAATCTCTGAATGTATAACAAGAGCCCCAGACCATATGTGGCCGCCATATTCCAAGCATGGACGGAAGGTGGACTTATAAATATGTAAGATAGATTCTGGAGAGAAAGAATTATCTAGCAGGATACAGTGAATTAACTTTCCTCGCAACAAACTTAACAATTCAATATAATCTTTCTATTTGATGTCAATGGAAAATGTTATCCCGAGAAGGCAAAACGTGTCACACTCCTGGAGGTTTGCATCAGAGATAGAAAGCAGTATCAAAATTAACAAGGCTTTCCATACCCCAGTTAAAAGCAGATTGTAGGTAATTTTTGAGAACAGCCGCCAATATAACCTTTCAAGCTGATCAGGCTTACACATTTCCGCGGCACGATTATTTTGGACCACATTTATTAGACTTATATAAAAATCCATGGGGGAACATTTATTTATACCGGCATGCTTATTCTAGTCGTAATTTTTTATTTTATACAAAAGAGCATTTCCAAAGAAGGTTTGATTTTGAAACGTCAGAACCAATAAAATTGTAGATTCTTTGGATTTTTATCAAGAATCTCTGAATATATAGCAAGAGCACCAGACCAATTGTGACAGCCATACGAAAATCAAGGACAAAAGGTGGACTTATAAATATGTAGGACTGGCAGCATGGCCCGGCGTTGCCCGTGTTTGATTCAAAAATCGTACGACTCATGCAACAATCGCTATCACCTGACTTAAAATATTTTTGCCCTTCCTTGCCTTTAAAGGAGTGCCCTTTGCCGTGTTGATGTTGCTACATGCCTTACTTCTTGCCTATCTCACACTGCGAATTTTTTTCTAAGCTCTATGCTAAACATTAAATCTGTTATGAAAAAAGAACTAAACAAAATGAACACAAAACGATCAGCTTTAAAAAAAGGACTCGTAATTAGAAACACCGAATGAAAAAAGAATGTTAAGAACAAATACTTTTTCAAACCCAACCCAGTTCTGCGGAATCAGAATCAACGTTGAGTTTAAACAAGCGAATGAGCCAATTGGAGTAAAGTGTCATGCAGATTTAAATTTTTCCCACTTGTGACGAATACTGCTATCGATTTTTTGGCATGCTAGCATGCTAGTTAACATTCGTGTCAGTCAGCTGTTGGCTCTCACGCTGGCCAATAGAATCTTCCTGCCTATTCATGACAGCCAGCTATTGGCTCTCACTCTGGCCAGTAGAAAATGGTCGCAAACTACATGA